TCAGAGCTTTTAAGTAGCGGAATGCTTTGACACTGCCTGTCAGGGTCAACCCCGGTTGAAAGGGTTACAGTATCCAGCCAGAAAGACTGAGACAGTCGATTAAATAGACTTCACCATTGCGTGGCAATCTCGAACTCCAGTTTCTAGCCACGATGGAGACTCTCACCTTTACACCACATTCAGTGACATTCCGAAGACTGAAACCAGTGAGATGAGTTCTGGTAACTCTTTTCATCGGTGCACGTTTTATATTTGCTTCCATATTTTTGTGTTTGTAAAAAAACAACAACCAGACTACCCACTAATGTAATTCAAATTCTTTACGTTGTCACTATAAAAGAGAAAGCCCAAAACCATTTGCACTGGATTCTATAATTGTACGCTACATGTAGGTCAACCAAAATGGCGCTGTGTACTTCCCGACCTGGTTAGCGAACTACGCGTCTTGAGTAAACTTGAAACTTTCAAATCATGTGTGCAGGTGTCCTTTCTGAACCTTGCTGGGCGAACGGCTTGATCAGGTTCTTTGTGGACACAGGTCGTTATGTCAAAGAGAGGCGGCTGTTCACTTGGTGCTTTCTGCTAAATTTCTGATTGTAAAAGATAGAGATTTTGTGGGCAGGTCACTACTTCGCTGGTAGGTTTTCACTCCAAAAAAATAATAATTTGGGTTTTCATTGATGGGTCGTTTTATTCTTGTTTCAGAACTTTAGTACTGGGCTTTTATGCTAGTCGCTACACTTGACGTCCCCACCCTGTGCCCCAATCAGCCTGAGACGGCATTGGCACGATGGGTCATAGCAGCCCTCCTCCTCACGGTTTAAACTGTTACGTAAAACAGTTTTAATGTTGGTGTTTTATGCCTTCATTTTTCAAAACATAGATCATGTAACAGTTGGGCTTCGACCCTGCCTGTTGCAACCAACCCATCCTGAAAGGGATGAAAGGGATACCACATACCTGCAGAGAGTTGATAGAAAATCTCCCTACTCGTGAATCGAACTCGGTCTCCTGCATGCGACAGCGGAAGGACCTAACCGCTGCACCACAGACACCGGTGATCTTCTAAACTGTTACTGAAGGGGTTAAACATCTACGATGAAGATCAGTGTCAATGAGACCCCAAATGTCCTTTTCTAAATCGCTATACCTTAGAATTATAATGTTCTATCTGCTCAGTAGCCTACCTAGTTTTGAGAAATTTGACGTAAAAATGTTTGCTTTTCACTGCATGTCAAGCTTTTTCGAATGGAATTCTTTGACCATTATCTTGATAACGACTCCGAAAAATCGTACGATTCTAAAAGAGCAGACAGAAAATTTGGTTTTTGACCTTATGGTATTAGTAACTCAAAATGGCCAAAAATGTCAGATAGAACTTTGTAATTTTAAGGTAGCGAAATTACTCGTACACAGCCCCAGGAAGCGCGCCTCTGTCAAACACCGGTGGACAGTAAAATTTAATTGCAGAGATGCTTTAAACCCTCACTGACACAATTTAGAGAAGTAAAATTTATGAGACGAAGTGCTTTAAACCTTTCTATTAAGGCCAACGTTTGGGCTGACAAGGATACAACGTTCCAGCAGACAGATGGATACACTCGATTAAGAAAACCTCCCCACATTATGGAAATCGAACTCTTCAAGTCTTCTGTGAACGACGAGGAAGCGCCTGGCCACTACACTACAGACGCCCGCCAGGTCAACTATCAGAGATGGCGCGGTAATTGCAAAGGTACGGAACAGGCACGACGTGTTGCCTGTGACAATGATTGGACATAGCAAGGTGGCCTCACTTTGGGTGGCCTGCATTGCTTGGGGGGGGGGGGGGCAGGGGTCATTGACTCTTCGGCCAGAATTGTTTTCTTGTAATGCGTACAGGGCCTCGTCACTCCGATCTAGGGCGGGAGAGACAGAAAGAAAGAAAGAGAGAGAGAGAGAGAGAGAGAGAGAGAGAGAGAGAGAGAGAGAGAGAGAGAGAGAGAGAGAGAGAGAGAGAGAGTTGTTTGCGATCCCACGAACTTGATCATAACCCCTGCGCTCGCCTGTATGATATTATTGCCACATACTATTATGCCACATTCTGTTTGCAGAAGAGATGTCATCTTTTCTCCACGATTATTCCTTCCGTTGCACGGTTCTGGTTCTTGTTGATTTATAGGCAGCGGGTCTCGTTATGTGGCCTAGTCAAAAGATTCGGTCAAAATAGTGGTATGCTGGCTTTGTAAGCATTTTACACCTCTTTCAAATTTGTAAGGTTATTTTATAGCTGGAATCTCTATACTTACAATGTTTATCCCCAATAAGAAGAATCAAGTAGGTGCAGAACCTTATAAACTCATTAAAACAAAAACCAACTCACCCACTCCCAAAAAACAATAACAAAACAACAACCAAAAAAACAACCAAACCAAACAAACAAAGAAAGAAATTTAAGGCCGAACTCTCGACTGTGGAGCCCACCTCTAAATGACACCCCCAGTGTGGCACTTTGTGTATTGCGAGTGTGCGTGGTTAAGTTTCAATTTTGATATTATGGTACAATGTAGCCCAAGGACACTGTCACACGGCCCCTATCGCACTAACACAGCCCTGTCCCGGGACCGATCTGTCTTGTCCCTCGGTCGATTTTTCCGTTTCAAAACAGGTACCGCACCAGGGCAGGACTTTTCCAGGACATACTGCCTTCATAGTGTTGGCCTACTTCTGCACTGGACCCGGATTGCATTTTCTAGATGTATGAAATCGAGGTTGCATTTGTTTGTGCTTCGTGTTAGAGAAAAAGAGAGAGAGAAAACAGTACTGGGTGCATCCCTCAATGGCCCAAAGATTACTCAAGGATCAATTCTATAGGTTTGATGGTGACCTCGGATGTTGTCCTATTTTTCCCCTGGCTACTACAGATTGAGCATCGAACGAAAGCTTTGACGACCATACTATCTACCTTTGAGTTTTCTGTCTTGATCAGACAGGCCTTCCTTTTCCTAGGGGGTCATTTGACATACTTCAGACCATGCCTTGGCTTTTACATCTCGGTTACAATAGTATAGTCACCATCAACATTGTTGTACAAACATGCTTTATTTTCCACTTCACGAATACGGTGTTTTCAGTCTAATTTGGATCAACGTCCATTTTGATGAGATTTCCAACACTTGATACAATAGACTGTATAGTTTAGAAACAACGAGCGACTGCAGTAGAGAGAAAAAAGTTGAGAATCGAGAGGTAGAAAATGAGGTTAACTTAACACATCAGTACAAGCGCCACGAACTTAACTGCAGGCGCCACCAAGTCTGGGACAGTTTTGTTTAATGCGGTAGGAGGCTCTATTTCTCTGCAATCACAAACGATACTATCCCTCCTCTCCCATCGAATTTTGTAGCAATTCACAATTTCTCGGGACTCAGTGCGACAATAATGTCCTGTCTCGATAGGTGTGGTATATTCCACTCCAGTTCATAGGTTTAGTTTTTTTTTTGTTTTAGCAAGGTTTTACGGCGCTCCCAACTGCATAGGTCATATGAGCGCTAAGGGGTGAGTGTCAACAGAGAAGCCCAAACAGGGAATCAGGCTTACTCTGCTCACCTCTCTAGCCTCAAAAGAACAAAGTCTAGCAGTTCACAAGAGAGTGACAAACATACAAAATAAGTAGAGGAAAAAATGACGACAGCAAAGAAGAGGAAAGAAAAAGCAGCAGTTCCCCCTTTGTTGTTCCGGCACAGTATGAGCATGACACTGATAAATCAGCCCATTTATAATTCTACTGTACATAAGATCATGTTAATATTCCCCCTTTGGAAATGGCCTAAAGACACTCCGACCAGTGGCACTTCAAACTTGGGACGGGTCTGTCCCGGAACAGGACTGTAATAGAATGGTAGGGGCCGAACCGAGCGTCAGAGATGTTACCGAGCGTAATAAATAAACCTGAAAACAGAAGGAGGCAAGAGGATGATAGATATTTGATAGGAAAGAAGAGCAA